ATGAAAAGGGTGAAGTCGCTACAGATCCTTCAGAAGATAATCAATACCTACTTTGAAAACTGTTATTCACATAGGATAGAAAACACAGAAGAAATGGATGGATTCCTAGAAATGTATGAATTACCAATCCTAAATCAAGAAGATAAAAAATTTTTAGTAACCCAATATCAGCTAATGAAACTGAAAACAATTAAAAACCTACCAACAAAGAAAAGCCCATGAATTCACAGTTGAAATTTACAGGAAATTTAGAGAAGATTTAACATCACTACTCCTCAAACTCCTTATTGAAACTGAAAGGGAAGAAATTTTCCCTATCATTCATGGAGGCAGGTATTACCCTGATATCAAACCCAAAAAAGACCCAACTAAAAATGAGAACTACAGGCTAATCTCTCTCATGCACATAGATGTAAAAATTCTTAATAAGATACCAGCTAACAGAATGCAGCAAATCATCAAGAAGACTGTACACCATGACCAAGTGGGGCTCATCCCAGGAATACATGAATGGTTCAACATACACAAATCAACAGACATAACATACCATATCAACAGAGCCAAAGACAAAATTCACATAAACATCTCAATAGAAGCAGAAAAATCTTTGACACAGTCCAACACTGATTCATGATTTAAAAAAAACCCTAAAGAAAACTAGAATAAATTGTCTTTACTTTAATCTGATAAAAGCCATCTATGACAAACCAATATCACAATACATGGACAAAAACTAGAACTCACTCTAAAATCAGAAACAAGACAAGCATGTCCACTGTCACCACTCCTATTCAATATAGTTCTAGAAACATTAGCCAGAGCAATTAGACAAGAGAGAGAAATAAAAGGAATAAGGACAGGAAAGGAAGAAGTTAAATTATCATTATTTGCAGATGACTTGATAGAGTTTTTGTGGGGTTCTCTTTCATACGGAGAACCAAACTCAGGCAGGCAGGTACTTATGATGCTGAGCTAAATTCCTGGCCCCTAAACTACTAGAGTTAATAAGAAAATTCAGAGGTATAGCTGGATGTAAAGGCAACACTCAAAAATCAATTGCATTCTGGTACACGAACAACAAACTCACGGAGAGAGATACTAGGGAAACTCCGCCCTTCACAAAAACATCCAAAAAATGAAATACATAAGAATGCATCTAAGAAAGGTAGTAAAATATTTATATATTGAAAATTACAGAACTCTGAAAAAGGAGATTGAAAAGAAATGAGAAGATATCCCTTGCTCATGGATAGAAGAGTTAATATGATGAAAATGGCCATACTCACAAAACTGTTGTACAGATTTAATGCAATCTTGATCAAAATATCATTAACATTCCTCACAGAACTAGAGAAAACATTACTAAAATTCATTTGGAAACAGAAAAGACCTAGAATAGCAAAAGCAATCCTGGGCAACAAAGGCAAGGCAGGAAGCATCACAATCCCTAGTTTATATCATAAACTATGTAAATTATATCATAAAGCTACTGTGATTAAATCAGCATGGTACTGACAAAACAAAACAGACCTGAGGACTACTGTAGCAGATTAGAAGATGCAGTCACAGCTACAAACATACTCAGCCACTTTATCTTTGATGAAGAGACAAAACATATTCACTGGAAGAAAACCTCTTTAATAAATAGTTCTGGAAAAACTAGCTTTCCACATGCCAAGACTAAAACTAGACCCATGTCTATTGCCATTCACTAAACTAAAATCACAATGGATCAAAGATCAAAATGTTAAAACATAAACACTAAATCTACTGGAAGTCAAGGTAGGTAGAAATCTTGAAGACATAGGTACAGGCAGAGAGTTCATGAACAAAACCCAAACTGCACAGGAAGTACTTCAAAGAATCAACAACTGGGATCTCATCTTATTAGAAAGCTTTTACACATCAAAAGAAATCACTGACAGAGTGAAAAGAGAACCCCCAAATCAGAAAAAAAAAATTCAGCCGCAGTGCCTCAAATGACTTCTTTTTTTTAAATTTTATTTTAAAGAGAATAAAACTAAGCAAAATAAAACAGAATAAAGCAGATCAAAACAAGATAGTGTAAGTGACAAGACAAAGGACTTCTATTTAGAACATATAAGCAATTTTTAAGAATCAGGCCCCTCAAATTCAAAGACCCAGTCCAAAAATAGGCATCTGAGATGAATACACACTTTTCAAATGAAAAGAAATACAAATGGCAAATCAATATATGAAAAATGTTCAACATCATTGGTTTTTAAAGAAATGCAAATTAAAACAGCACTGAAATTCCATCTCAATCTAGAAAGAATGGTCATATCAAGAAATCAACCAGTAACAAATGCTAACAGGGCTGTGGGGAAAAAGAAACCCTTCCCTACTGTTGGTGAGAGTACAGATTGGTACAACCACTATGGAAATCAGTGGAGATTCCTCAAAAAGCTAGGATTAGAGGTCCCATTCAACCCAGCTATTCCCCTTCTGGGTATTTCCCAGAATTATAAACATCACAAAGATAATGTGAACCCATTTTTGTGGCAACACAATTTGTAATAGCTAAATCTTGGAAACAACCCAAATGCCCATCTACCATGGAATGGATAAAAAAGTTGAGTTATTTTTATACAGTGGAGTACTACTCTACTCATACACAAAGAAGGATAAAATTTAGACTTTTATAGGTAAATGAACACAACTTGAGACTATACCCATAAGTGAAATAAATCGGACTCTCATGTAGAAACATTGTATTGTCTCCCTAGTATTAAAAATAAGATCCAAAATGTACGATAGATATTGTGAGAGTGAAAGGGGAGGATACTACTTGGAAAGAAAGGACAATTGGCATGGGGGAAAGGAGAAAGGAAAATATTATATATATATACACACACACACATACGGTAAATAATTACACTACTAATTTCTATTGGTTCATCAAAAAGAGTGGTTTATGCTTTCACTGTTTGATCACTTTTTCATGCCTATGTTTGTAATCTGAGCAACTACTTTGAAGATAATAGTACACAATATAGTAACCATTGTTAATCTATTATTTTGTTTTGAAATTCTGTGTCATTTTTACTTTTTGTTTTAAAATTTAAAAATAAATTTACATAAAAAAGAAATTCTGTATCTTTTTTCTCATTAAAATAAAAAAAAGCAGGGCCAGAGATTTAGCTCAGCGGCACAAGCGCCTGCCTGGCAAGCAGAAATTTATGACTTCAATCCTCAGTACCAAAAAAAAACCAAAAAACAAAATAAAATAAAAAAGCAACTTTGTACAAGCATACAGTGGGTGGGAAGATGATACACACCATATTCATTAAATAAATATAGAAAAATTTCGAAAGAACAAAATATCATAGAAAGAATCTTAATACATTTTAAAACACAAAACGAGAAATTTAGAGTTCAGAGAAAAGTTGAGGAATTCTTCCTTAAAGTAATGCAGAACAAAACGGTTGGAAACAGAGAAAAGTTTCAATGTCTAAAGAACAGGAATCCAGTACAACAGAACAACAGCTGCAGAAAGGAGGAAGGGTCGTCAGTGACATAATTAAAGGAAATTTCTGAGACACAAATCCCACACTGAACAGGCTTAACAGGGAAACAGCACAATGGTCAAATGTAGGTTGTACCAAAGACTGGCCATTATAAAACCGTGGAACTGCGAAGGCAGGTGCTCACAGTTTTTCCAAGAGGGGAAAAGCAGGTTCCACACACAAGGTCAGGAATTATGTTGAACTGAGACTTCCCAGTGCAAAAGGACTATAGAGAATGCCTGCCAAATGTTAGTGGAAACCGCATTCAACATAGAGTTCTACACTCAGCAAACTACAACGTAAGAGTGATGCCCAGTAAAAGACCTGAAGATGAGAAAGGCCTCATGTTTTTGTTTTTCCTATGACCAGTAAGCTGTTGGAGAATTATTCCACAAAAGCAAGGAGAAAACAGAAAGATGAGCCCAGAGAAGACCAAAGAAATATCCAGCATGATCACAAAGTCACCAGAATGACAACTGTGCATGAATTGTCTGGCAACCAAACTGCATTGATGCAGTGGGACTCCCGAGATAGACTCTGTTATGGGCGCAGCTCTTGGCATCAAACTTCAGTGATTACTTCTGGAGCAGTAAATGTGCTCCACAGACAGGAGAGAGAGGATAAAGAGTAGTGCATCCAGTTATGAAATTCCAGGGTCTGGGGATTTAGCTCAGCATCATAAGCGCCTGCTTTGCAAGTACGCAGTCGTGAGTTCAATCCCGGTATCAAAAAAAAAAAAATGAAATTCCAGAGAATGGCATTCATAAGTGGCAGTGGTGAGAGCTGGGCAGAAAAACCTAGTGGACGTCACGGGGAGGCCACAGGTCTCCAGGTTAGGTGGCTCCGAAGAAATGCGGGAACAGTAGGTGACTTGAAATCAGCAACCTTGTGGAAAATCCTATCGGCAGATTATTGGATGATCTGGAAAGATCCAAAACCAAAGTAAAAACTACGAAATGAAAGAAAAAAGGCAGTTACTCCGACAAGGAAGAATGAGAAAGGAAATAGGAAAGCACACGGCAGTGCCCAGTTCAGTGTGCTATCTGCATAGGTAAAATGACATTTATCCTGGTGTACTGACTCAATCAAAAAAATCATCACATTGGCATCTTGAGAAAAAGGGAGGCAAAGAGAATGACTGAGAGATAAATTCTTAATTGTTGACATAAGAAATCCATAGAAACTGTCTGGGATTGATGGGCCAAAGAAAGATGCTGCAGAAATATGGAAACATGTAACTCATAAAGACACAGCTAAAAAGAATTAAAGAGGGCTGCATCTGGGGAGGAAGGAGTTAATGTGAAGGGGGGGCGAGGGAGTTGTGCTTTGCTTTAAACTTTTCATGTAATTTGATGGTCTAACACCACATGTGCACTTACATTACTTAAGTTAAAAAGTGTTCTACAAAGCACCTAACAATTGCTGTCGAGTGGCACGTGATTAACAGTAATGATAGCAAACTGATCACATTACTTTTACTTCTTGATTTTTCTCTGCCCAAGGAAAACATGACATGAAGTCATCCAGTGTGTCCACAATGGCATCAGCTTGACATTGTTCTGTTGCTGTCTTTCCAGCCAAATCTGTGGAACAAAGAGAGGCCATTTATACTTAGCTCAAGGCTCCATTTAACTTCCTGCATTACATAGGAAAGACATTTGTGGAGCTATAAATTCAAACTTTCCTTCTACCCTGTCCCCATTTCTCCTTTATCTACCTATCTTATCAACTGATCAGTCTCAATAATCTCTTATGTATTCTATTGTTTCTTACGAAAACACAAACAAAAGACTATATATTCTACCAGTTGTGTCTCTGTACTTCATATATACAAGAGACCATTTCTTACCAGAACCTAAGGAATATCTTTTTTCAGCCACATGGTTGTTAAGGCACATTTATCACAGTTTATCTAGCCTCAACTTACAGAATTGTATCCAGCCTTTTGCTAATATAAACAGTGCGACCCTAAATAAACTGTATGTGGAGTATAATTTATTTTGTAAAAATAATTTTTATTTTTCCAGTCAGTTTTTTTCAGGAACATTTGTTTGATCATTGGAGACTAAAAATTTATGATAATATAAGAGTTTTTTCTTTCCTGCCATTTGTTAATCATTGTTTCAATAATAAATCATTGGTCTTTCCAAATATTTTCTCACTGCTGTTTTTAAAGTGATTCAGTATGGAAACATTCTAAAATGGATTGCTTTTTGTACAATTTTAAATGTACTGCTAATCAAGAAATTATATTACGGCAATGGGAAAACTGTTTCAGTAAAGCTGTTTAAAGTGCTTCAGTCACTTAGAGTTTATCTGTGCACTGCTTTTCATGTGAAGTATTCGAAGCTTGATTCTTCTTTCAGACCTTAAAAACCCCTCAGAATTCTGTCAGTTCTCATTCCTACTCAACTTCCACACGCAAGGCTTCGATTTCAAAGTCACACAGACAACTCGGTTGATATTTTTAGCTAAGCTGCAGGCTTGTGTCCTGAGTTTCCCTTTGCACACAGCTCTGAGCGTTCTTTGGGTTCCTAAACTCTTCTTCAACAAATCCCCAAATGCAGTTACCACAACCTGCCTCGGTACCCTACCTCCTCCTTCTCACTCAACAAATATTTAGTAAGTTCCATCTGTGAGACAGCCCAACACATACATATGGTTGACCACAAAGGGCAGACAGTCAAGAACATAATTCAGATTGACATGAGCTGGAAAACAAAACAAGAGGAAGAGAAGAAGAAGCAGTACAGGGTGCCACAAGAATGGAGACCGCCCCAGGTGTGGTGCACACACCTGCAGTCTCTGAGCGCTGCAGAGCTAGGGCAGGGAGACCGCCCGTGTAACCAGCCTGGGAAATTCAGAAATGAGAGCCTGTCTCTAACTAAACAGTAAGAAAAGGACTGGGGATGAAGCTTAATGCAAAGCTTCTCTGTTCAGCCCCCAGTGCAAAAAAGAAGGAAGAGAAAAGAAAAACCATGTACAACCCATGGTCTCCCCGACCCTTTGTCTCTGGTGCCAGTGTCTGCCAGCCCCAAGATGTTTCCAAATTTGCAAACTTTCTCATACTTCACTCACTCCTCTGTTTTCTGATTCATTTGGACTATTTCAATGGCCTTCTGTGTGCTTTCCTGCAGTCAGGCCAATCAAGTACAAAGTCCACAAACAGCAACATCAGCATCATTTAGGAAATTGTTAAGAAGGCCAATTCCTGGGCACTTCCTACTTCTACTGCAACAGTCTCTGGAATCCAGGTCAAGCAAAATGTGTTTGATGAGCCTGAGCCTGATGCAGTGAAGTTTGAAAAACACCATACTCCTCCCAAATAAAGCCTAATAGAAAAATAGTCACTGTTCATTAGCATGGTGATGGCCAGTATCACGCAGATTATACCTCACTAGTCTCTTCTTTGTGGCTGCTCTGTCGTGGCAGGTAAGGCAAGGTGACTGCGGCTGGCATTTCTCACCCCTAGTTTTCAAGGCTCCTTATTTTCCAGTTATGTCTTATTTTCAGAGAAATGGGGTATAAAGGCCCATGCTGAGGCATCCCTTAAGCCTGGACTCAAATTTCACTTTCACTTCAAGGACAGATTTTCATAGTAAAAAATAATTTCTGTTTCTCCTAACCCTAAGAAAATTTCACTTGAAATACAGTATATGTTAGTATAACTCAATTTTTTTTGTTTTGCTTTGTTTTTCAAAAGATAACTGAACCCAGGGCCTTTGCATGGAGACATATCACTTTTTGAGACAGGGATCTAAACCACTGGAATCACAGCAAGGTCCCCCATACACTAGATATTTGCATTTTTAACATACTTGACTTTGTTCCAAAAACCAGTCTAGTATCTAAGCCCATCTGGAGAACTGTAAATGAGTTTAACAGGTTGGAAGTGAAAAATGCAGATTCCACAGATTGATGAGAAAGGAAAGAGCTTTTAAAGAACACAAAAATGGGGTTTTACTAAAAAGACAGCGTATGAGAAAAGTAGGAAAGAGAGAAAAAGACAACAGAGCACAGTGAGAGAAAGGGCAACAAGCAAAAATGAGGACCAAGTTTATTATTTCTCATTCAAATGATGGGTAAAGGCACTAACAGTACAATCCAGAAGCCAAGTGACCTGCTAGATCCGCTTGAGGGCACTCAGTGCAGAAAATGTCCCTTTCTTTCTCTTCTGTCAGCAGGAGTAGGAGGAAGGACATTGCTGAGTGCATGATTTTAATTACTTGCCTTGCCTGCTGGATTCATTCTTTTGGTGTTTATGGAGTCGTAGTCTTTGTTATCTCTTCCTAGAATGTCCTTCAGAACACCTGGGAGTGCTGGTTTGGTGGTCATGGATTTCCTCAGGTGTTCTTTTTTGTGGAAATATCTTAATTTTCCATCAATTTGGAAAGATAGTTTTGTGGGGTACATCAGTCTGGGTTGGAGGTTGTTTTCTTTTAGGGCTTGAAATACTTTACTCCAGGCTCTCCTTGACTTGAGTGCTTGTGTTGAGAAGTCTGCTATAATTCCGATGGGCTTTTCTTCGTAAGGGATTTGTTTCTTTTCTCTAATAGCTTTTCATATTTTATTCTTATTTTCATTTCTGAAATCCTATTATATGGTAGATTTTCTTTGATCATGGATAATTACAGTTCTAAATGCCTCAGCTGTAACTCAAATTCTTTTTCCTGCTTGGGAAGTTTTCTGTCAGTACTTCTATGAACAGGTTTTTTAAAAATGTCGCTTGTGCTCTTACTTTTTCATTGACTCTGAGCAATGTTACTCTTCTTTGCATCATCTAGCAGCTGTTGAATTGAATTTTCACAGTCCCTTACTATTTTTAAGAAAAAGATTTTTTAAAAAGATTAAGAAATCTTTTCATGATCATTAACCACAATCCTGTCTTCTATATCTGATATTCTGCCCTCACATGGGTTCATTCTGCTGCAGATACATTCTGCAGATACATTCAGTGGACTTTTTAATCTCCTAGATACCTGATTGAATCTATTTCATGAATTCTATTTCTTTCTTATGTTGGAAATTCATAATTTCCATCATTTTAGCTAAGTTCCTTTTTAAATCTGTATCTTCTTTAGATTCACTAACCCTATTCTTTATTATGGCCATCATATTTGAAGTTATCTGACAGATTATTTCTGATTTTATTTTTCCAAAGGCTTCATTCATTTACCTTGTTACTTCTTTTGTTAACACTTCAGAGAGTCCAGATGGGTGCCTTTTGAACTGTGTCACCTCTTTGCCTCCTAGGTTTGCCTTGGGTGAGCTGGAAGTCTGCAGTGGCATCTTACTTCTGAGTCTTGATCATTTTCTAGTTTTTAACTCCTTCATTGATGCTTGTAAATAATTTATGATAGTTATCTTTATTGCTAGCATCAAGAACATTTGGGAAATGACTACTTCTCTGAAATGTCTTCCATGTGTGGCTGGCTTTTGGCATTTGATTCTGTTGCAAGATCCTACCTCTTCAGTGTATCAGAGATAAGAAATTGCTGCCTATTTGGCTGAAAACTGGGTCTCTGGCACTGGCCTGTAGTATTGTTTATGACTGCTAGGCAATTAGAAAGAATTCCTGATTAGAACAATTATGTCACGTTGGCTAAAGTAGTATAATCAGGAAAAACAGTAGTATCAAACACATTCTAGAAACTGACAGACTATGGTAGCTATTAATTTGCCACCATTAACCATATTAACAAGATTTGTAATCCTATAACCAAATCTAAAACAAACTGGAAAATTGTGAACAGTAAATACTCCCTCAAAATAGCAATTTTACTCTCCTGGGATAAAACTTTTAAAAAAGAGTAGAGGAAAAAATAGAGAAATAAAAGAAGAGAAAGAGATTACAGGTAAAACTCGAGGACAAAGATTATGTAAACTTTAGGAAACTGAAGAAGAAGATAGGAAGGAAAGAAAGAAGGAAGAATAAGAAACAAGAATAGGGCCAGGGATTTAGCTCAGCGGCATAAGCACCTGCCTGGCATGCATGAGGTCGTGAGTTCGATCCCCGGTACCAAAAAAAAAAGAGAGAGAGAAAAACAAGAACAGATCAAGACAAACTAGAAACAATGTTCACACATGTACAAAAAACAAACACGAAAAAGAGAAAAAAACAGAAAATTAAAAAAAGAAAAGAAGAAATGTAGAGAAAAAAATGTGTACTTCAAGATGTGTGTCTGCTGTCATTGGCTGACAGACGGGCAGACAGGGCCCAGATCTGTGTCGACTGATTCCAGCAAGCCAGCAGAAGTATGGTGGTGACAGATAATCCCAGGAGACCTGGGCCTTTAGTTCTGCTGAAGTTCAGGCTGCTTCTGGTTTTTGTCTGTGAGACTAGGACCCTGGTTTTTCTGCCCATTGCACCCCGAGTGATTCCTGTCTGGATCTCTTGCTGGCTTGAACTCTCGGGCACTTCATTTTGACACTTGGAGCCACTAGAAGCACCAGCCCACAGCTGCTCTGAGTTCTGACTCCAGTCAGCCATTTTCCAGTATGGCACCTGGCCAGTCACCCTCTCGTGGGGGCATCTGAACTTGAATAACTCACCAGCCACTGCAGTCCACAGTATCCATTGCTCTGTTCCACTGGTGAATTTTTCTGTGAAGGCCTCTGGGGTTGCCAGTAGTCACTGTGCCTTCACAGGTTCCAGCCATCCCTTCCATGTGGTATCTGGCCTCAGGGAGAAAGCTCTGCCTGCCCTTTCGCTCCTCATTATGACCCCTCTCTTCTCTCACCCCTTGGCTCTAATTCTGGCTTCCGGTCCTTACTGCGTCCCAGAGATGCACTTCCCTCCTCGTTCTCTTCCTCATGTTGCTATATTCCAGCATCTGGATTCCAAATATCAGAGAAGCAATTTCTCTGCTGGTCACCATACTGTCATCTTCCTGAAAGTCTCAGGTACGTGATTTTAATAATCTAAGAAAATTTAACCTTCATGTATCACATGTATTTCTGGCTGATTAACTTTCTCCAATAACTTAGAATACTCATATTAGCAAAATGTTAGGGTGAGAAATACCTGTTAAAATTTTCAACTATATTCCAAAAAGAGCTCAGACATAGGAAGCAAAGAGGTATGGATCAGGAAGAACAGGTTACAGTATAAAACAGAATTATCTAATTGTTCTAGGGATACATGAAAAGTTACGGTGATATAGATGGTACATTTATACTGCTTGATACCATCAATATGTCAAATTCATTGGCTTAAGAAGCACCTGGCAGATTGCTAAAGTACATTCCTGCATGTTTCTGGGTGAGTCACTGCATCTGGTCCCTTGCTTGTTCCTGTCTGGCACTGTCGTTTGATCTGCTTCCTGGCTCCCATGAACTATGCAGTTTTACTGACCATGTCCTGCCACCACGATGTTTCTGTTGGAGTCTGCCAACCATGGACTCACTCTTCTGAAACAGTGAGCTAAATTTAATCTTTTTTTTAGTTGTGAGTATTGTGTCTCATAGTCGGAAAGTTGATAAAATACAGTGCTCTAGTATTTAATTTCATACTTATTTGTGCTATTGCATTCAATAACAATTAATTTAATTAACATTGAATATGCAGATATTCTTTTTTCAGTTATCACATATTAACCACAATAAACATATTACCTGTGTTTCTGGTCAAGTATCTTGCTATTGCCAAGCTTTGGTGAAGGATAAGTCCATCCACTTCCAAAATGGGAATTTTGCCAAATGGAAGAGCTTCAAATAAGAGCAGGGAATCAGCCTCCTAACGTAATGATGCATCCATTTTTACAGAAAATTGTGGAAACAATGATGGTTGTAAATAATGACTGTGAAAATCATGGAATTCTTAAAAATGTATTCTATAAAAGGGACATTTGACAACCTCAAATGAAACATTTATATTTTATAAGTTAAAAGAGATTTAGAAGGCACAGTGCTTGGTTACCTTTCTCCGGTAACTTAGGATACTCATATTAGCAAAGTACCTGCTCGGCAAGCACAAGGTCCTGAGTTCGATTCCCAGTACTAAAATTTAAAAAATAAATAAATAAGAATGATTTTGGAAAACTGGATTAAAGTCAATGGCAAGACTGGTTCTAACATTCGTGCTTATAGTGATACTATATTTTACATCACATATTGTTTCAGACATCACTCAACTTTTAAAACAAAACCTGTATTTTAAATCATCATTAATTTTGTGGCCTCAAAAGCATGACACATCCATTATGTGTTTAATTTACATGAGTTATGATAAAACAAAATTTAGCAAAAGTCTTATTTGATGGATTTTTTGAAGCATACAATAAAATTGCAAAAACTTTTCTATATGAGATTCATAACATATACAATATTTATAGTTTCTCAGCAAATCCCACTTTATTTTTTTATCTAAGCCTATTATATTCTTGTCACAAAACAATTTACATGTATTATAGAAAAAAGTATAAGTTGAAAATAATTCTACCACATAGTAATAACCATTTAATAGATTTTTCCATATATATTTTTAAAAAATAAATCATAAGCTGTGTAACATTTTGTAAACTACTTTTTCCCACTTAACAGTGTTTTTTTAAAATCTTTCAAAATCAGTGAAACACTATCATTCTAATGACTTCTTAATTCTGATGAGTGTATTGACCAAACTTTTCCCAAATGGAAATTATTTAGGAAAGAAGGAAAAGAATAAAGTACCATTCAGGACCCTCACCTAAGTGCTGTTACCAATTTTGTGTGTGGCATTTAAATCTTTTGCTTGCATACTGACTAAATATAAGATGAATGATAGTTCATGTCAGGAATTTTAAAAATTGGCATTACTGGGGATTGAATCAAAGGCTTTATACATTTTCTGCTAATACTATCACTGAGCCACAACCACAGCCCCTTTTGTGTTATATTTTGAGATAAAGTGTCACTAAATCATGAAATTGTCTAGGCTGGCCTTGAACTTTCAGTCCTCCTGCCTCAGCCTCCCAGGTAGCTAGGATCATAGGCATGTCACCACACATAACAAAAATATCTCTGACTACTACCTAATGAGCATGATTATAACTGTAGATGGCTGAGATACTGTACGGAGTAAAACAGTTCCAAATAAAGCTGACAGAAACTGGGATGCCAGATTTGAAGAAAAGTACATAAACAAGAGGATATTAGTCTGCTTTACTCTGTTGGGGAGGTTCCTTTATGCTAGGGTTAGAACTAAATATTCTAAATGCCTATTAGTTCTTTTAATACTTATAATTGTAATAAGTAGGTATTAACCATCATTTTATTTTATGGGAAATAATGTTAAAAGACTTTATGTAAACTATCCAGCCTCACATCTGGTAGGGAAAGATTCAAACTGAGGTCAGTTAGAATGGATTTCAGAGCAATATATTGAGAAAGATAAAAATCAAGCCTAGAAAACAGTATCTGAAATGGAGAGGGGCCTGGAAACCGCATTTTAGGAAAATTAGTTGCAGAATCTTGACACATTTCACCAGCAGGAAACAGAACGAACTAAGTGAAAACTGATATCTATCTTCAAATTTGGCAGAGCCATTAAACAGAAGAAAAATTTCACTTATTCTTACCAGCTCTAAAAAGCAGAACTGGAAACAAAAGATAAATGAGGAAAAATGGCAGATTTTGACTCAGAGTGAAGACTAGATTTGTTAATATTAAGTAATTGTCTGTGGAATGTGCCTTCTTGTGAGATGGTCTGCTCTCAGCCAGGAGAAGTGCTTGCTCCAACCTTGGAAAATCTGCCAACAGATGGAACATCATCTAAATTCAACAAGAAGAAATATAAGATGACAAATGCTAAGTACTTCATTTGGTTCCAGAAAAAAATAGTAATAGTTCCAGCATTGTTGGAGGTATCACTTAACAGGAACATCTGTCAGAAAGCTTCAAGGAATTCAGTGACACTAAATCTAAGACCATAGCATGATAGGCAGGCCAAAACAACTAACGTGATCCTGGTAAATGCCTCAGAAGAATGTCTTGACTAGCCCCAGGGGTTGTGAGGGCTATACCTAGTCATCACTTGGTCACTCAGGAAGGCAAAGCTCTGGGTGTGTCCATGAGGGAGTTTCCAGAAATGGCTGGCACAAGACCAGCAGCAGAAGAAGGCTACCTGCCACAAATGTGGGTGGCACCATCTAAAGCCTGGGAACCTGAACAGTATGGAAATCTGAAGGAAGGGAGGAGCATGCGCTTCCATGCAAGCTTGGTTCCTGAGCCACTATGCTTTCTGTGCTGCCATTACCTAAGAATATCAAACTCTTGATTCTTCAGCACTGAATGTGGATTTCTAGTGGTGACTCCCGGGGGTCCAGGCCTTCAGCCTGTAGCTAGGGCTGCCTCCTTGTTCCCTCACATTCTGAGGCTGCAAGCTTCTCGGATTGAATGGCCCCTGGTTTCTCTGGCGCTTCAGCTTACAGACAGCCATTGTGGGCCCAGGCTCTGATCGCATAAGTCAATAGAGGAAATCCCCTCTTTTATAGTTATATGCACATTAGACTGGCTCTGTTCCTCCAGAGAGCCCTAACCAACAGCAAGATGATGGTCCTGTTCTGTGCTGGGACATCCTGCTTTCCACAGGCACCACACATGACATGGAGATGGCAGGCAGCAAGAGCGTCTTCAGAAAACACCTCCTCAGATGCTAAGGAGAACAAGCCAGGGAATACAAATGACACTCCTGAGAAAGAAGAGTTCTCTCTTGAATCCGGATGTGATTGCAGATCTCAGTCCACGGGACATAGTATCTAAATCATGAAGTAGAATCAGTGTGGGAAGGCTGGCCTGAAATTTGTAATCATGATCAAAACAGGAAGTTCCAAAAGCTGTTATCTAAGTAGAAGCACAGATGCATGGCACCCAATTCTGAATTCTGTCAAAGATCTTTCCTTTCCTCTTTTTTTTTTTTTTCTTTTCTTTTGGTCTTTTTGAGGCAGGTTTTCCTATGCAGTTCAGCCTGGACTTGGGCTCACTTTGTAGCCCAGACTGGTCTCAAACTTGCAATGATCCCCCTGTCTCAGCCTCCGAAGTGCTGAGACAAAGATCTTGTCGTCGTCTTCTTCTTCTTTTTCTTCTTCTTCTTCTTTTTCTTCTTCTTCTTCTTTTTATTCTTCTTTTCTTCTTCTTCTTCTTCTTCTTCTTCTTCTTCTTCCTCTTCTTCTTCTTCTTTCTCCTTCCCCTATACCTCCTCTTCTTTCTCCTCCTCCTCCTCCTCCTTCTTCTCCTTCTCCTTCTCCTTTTTTTTTTTTTCTTTGAGTCAAGTTTTCACTGTGCAGTTCAGGGTGGGCTTGAACTCACTGTGCAGCGCAGGCTGACCTCAAATTCACAGCAATCCTCCTACTGCAACCTCCCAAATGACGGGATTACAGGTGTGTGCTGTCACTCCTATCCAAAGATCTTTATTTTCATTCAGAACACTTTTATTGTCCTGACCACTCTGCAGTGTCTTTTCCCCTAATATGCTTAAGGAATTCAATTTCCTCAAACATTTAGATATAGAAGAAGGAATAATCTGCTCTACATTAATGGAAATGACACCTTAAAACCAATATATGAAAGTCATAACGTGACAGGTTTAACCTCTTTTCAATGCTAGCAATCAAAAACCCAGAGCCCAGTGCATGCTGGTGAAGCACTCTACCGCTGAAGTACAGCTTCAGATTGCAAGCTTCAGATCCCCAGCTTCAGACTGCAATGCTGTATAAGAAAGATTCTTTTTAAGTTTGTTTTTCTTCCATTTTGTGTTTCCTATTCCTAGAATTTGATTTGGAAATTGAACCTCCCAAACTGATTGATTCTTGATTTTAAGTATCTTTCTTGTTTTATTTTCCTATTTTTTTCCTTATTTTCATCACTTTACCTATTTTTATTTGTATCATATTTTTAATTTTTCAAAAAAAAGTGCTTGTGTACATCCCTTTTTATGGCATCTTGTTCTTGTTTCATATATAGATTATCTTCTTTTCTCTCTGAGAATTTTATAATACTTTCCAAGATTTTTTTTCATTAACTCATCTTAGTTTCTTCAAAGTGCTTTTTTTCTCCTGCTTTTTTGTTTAGGTTTGTTTCATACTGGAAATTCTTCTCAAATATTTGTTGGTTTGGTTTTGACATTCTTGTTTAAGAGGCAAAATGATGAACGCCTATTGGATGCTCAGTGTATGGGAAGGGCTTGCAACAGAAAAATGGGCCATTTCATTGAGTTACAGCCTCCCTCACTGGTTCGGTAACTACGGGACATTTCTTTTGGGTTGGTCAGTTTCCCCAGGAAGAATTCCTTCAGTTTTTGCCTAATGGTTATTAGGCTGTTCACAATAGTGTAGTTTTAGGACAAGGAAAAGAGGTATGCATTTCACCATTTAGTTGGTAGACTTCCCCTAAATCCCATTCCTATTTTATTTTTGCAGTGCTGGGAATGGAACCCACAGCCTTGCATATGCTAGGCAGATGTTCAGTTACTGAGCTACGTCTCCAGTCCACTGAATCTCATCTTTATTCTAACATCTCCACCATGTCAGCTGTCCCAAAATCTTTGGATTCATCCCCTCTGTGTTTATGCAGGAAAGAGACAAAATCCAGTGGTCCCAGTGCTTCATTATATTCTTCTTGATTTAGATCCTCTCAGCTCTGCATTCAGAGTCTTCTCCTCCAAGCTTATAATTGAGATTAACAAGTGTATTAATCAATATTTACTAGAGAAACAGATATAGCAGAAGATATACAAGTTTATAAGAATTTACAAGATTGGCTCACAATGGCCACCCACAGAGCTGGATGGGAGAAGTGTGCAGAGTATCTGTCTGCACATTGGAGACTGCAGGATTCAATCAAAGATCTGGAGCTCACTGCATTGCCCCAGGCAAGTCCTTAGCAGGAGCCCAGGGAGACTGCAATGGAAAGCTGAACAGCACAAAGGCTCAAAGATCTGCATTAGAGTCTGCACTGGAAGACAGGGAGTAGCATCCAAGGTGTGGGTAAGACTGGAGCTCCTCCAAAGAAACAGAAGCAGATCTATTTTTTCTCATTTCCCCTTTAAACCATCAGACCTCAAACTGCCTGAGGGTGGGCCTTGACACTATGGTGTGGAATTGCTGAGCCAATGTAGTTGAGTTTCTCTCACTTGCGTTGACACAATCAGCCATCACAATTGGCTTGCTCACCTTGTCTTTCTTTGACCTGCTTTCTAGATTCCACAATTTTGTGTTAGCTTGGTTTCTTTGTCTGCATGAGTCTTTGCCTTTTAATAATAAGTACTTGAATATTATTAAAGGAAAAAATGTAAATATATGTGCACAATCTACAAGGGTCAGCCAAGGAGAACTGTTTAATAGAAATGTTCAATGATGGAACACTTGGGCTTTAGTTCTGGGTTCTAACAAAGGGGATATCCTAGACCTAGAGAGTTTCAAATACTAGTGAGCTCGGTTAAACAGGATAGGAAACAGATTATGCCAAATAACATTTGTAATAGGAACAGCTTTTCAAAGTAATAAAACCCTGAATTTTTATCGAGCAAATAGATACCTACAATGAAGTCAACCTTTCCCAGCTGTCACTGCAGTATGGACTGTGTGACCAAGTTTCTGCTAAAGTAACGTGGCTTGAAGATTTCTAGTCCTGATAGCAAAAGAAAAGCGTGTGCCCTGCTTTTTTGACATCCCACAAGCTGGAATGCAGCAGAAGAGCCAACTATCTTGCCCTGAATAAATAACTCCAATGGCAGATCAACAAGAAAGGAGCAGCCTAATCTCTGACAACTTCATGGAGCAGCATAGTTAATGCCAAGTTGAAGTTTCATGCCAAGTTTCAAGAAATTGCTAAACTCTTTAAGACAATTTTATGTTGAGGCTCTGCTTATTAAAGCATTTTAAACTGTACCTTAACTATTCTGAACTTTAAGATCCCTTTCAATTCTAAGAATCTCTGAATATCTGAAAAATATTAAGAAAATGCAGACAGTCCAATTTTCAATAACATAACAACAAGCTGTTATGGTTTGCGTTTAGAGGTCTCACAGCCTCATGTGGTCATAAGGGGTTTTTTTTCTTCAGAGATAGATGAATCTAGAGTGTGTAATTTATTCATAGTGCAATGCTAGGATTAAGGGTGCTGGAATTAAGTGCAGGTGATTGCTGGATCGGCTCACTGCCCTAATGCCAGCAGTCTGGATAAGATAAAAAGGAGCAGAAAGAGGCTTGTCTCTCCCTTCCCTGGCCTTCTTTTGCTGTTTTCTGCTGCCAAGAACTGATTCTCTTCTGCATGTGCCAACAGCATTAGAGCCAGTCGATTATGGACAGAAACCTCTACAAACTGTGAGCTAAATAAATCTTTCCTTCCTTAACTTTGGGTGTTGGATATTTTATCTCAGCCACAAGAGAAAAGTAACTAAGATACAAATCTAAGTAAAATATAGTCTGAGGTCCTCAAAGGAATACTAAAATTATAAAGGCTGAATTTAAAAACTAAAAGGAATTTGCTATCCATTTGGTCTAATTACTGGACGAAATGAATGTTCCATATTATGAGTCCATGTCATAAAATCCTACCTGTGAACCCTGATATCAGAAGAAACATTTGGCTGTCAGTGTTTCATAACAATAAGAATAAGATCATGTTTTCCTCCAGAGGAGAGATTTCTGGTAAGAAAAGTGGTTATAAAGGCAATGATTTATCAGGAACTCCTGTTTCCAAAAGGCAAGTGGCAACGTATTGTCAATCTTCCAGTTATTATATACACTACTAATATTATTATCACTGTCTAATATAAATAATTTGGGCCACAGTATTAAATGAATCTGGTTTGAAACTCAACTCTACTTGCCACAGTCATGCAACTGGAAAAATGACCCAACTCTTGTGCATTTTGCTGCAACTCTAAAATAGAAACAATAATACATCCCCTATTTATTGCAGCTCTTGTAAGTGAATATTGGTTTATTTTTACATTATTTTTCTGTGAAGTTTGTGTTTTGACCTGTAAGAGAAAATCTACTGAGTCACATGGCATTTATTTAGTTTGCTTGGACTGCTGCTTCTCAATCTCAAGCTACTCAGACTGGAAAAACTTGGTAAGGTTGGGAAATCTTTACTTTTCTTTTTCATTTGCCATGGGAAAGGCAAACGGCTCTGGGAGGTTATTTTCCATACACATTTACAAACTAGAATTTATGCTACTTACTTGATTTGATTTCAGGCCAGTCAGCTTGTTCTATCCTGTGATCTTCATACTTTATGTCCAAATAGGCAAATAAGTAACGAATAATTTCTGCTCTCCCTCTCATATTGAAATAAATCAGTTTGTAGTCTGGCATGGCACTGCCCTGGAAAGAGACAAAGGCAGGGAGTGTTGCAACAGTCCTCTATGCATGCATTAGTATTGTTGGCAGGATTTTTTAAAAGCTTTATCCCATCTTTTGAAACAATCAAAAATATTAGAAGATACTCCAAAATGAAAATTATAGGTGACTATTTAAAACCTGAGAAGACTTGATGGAAATTAGATCCTTTCTCTCTCCCGCACCTCCCACTTTCCCTATCAACTGAAATATTCCAGTGAAACAACCAAATTCAAATTTTGCTTATAAACATATTCAGAGTCAGATGCTATCTCAGAATGTAGAGAGAAAACCTTTGCATCTTAAGATATTTGTGTCCTTTGGGCATATTATTTACTTGGTGGCAGAGCTCAGTTGTGAGGCTGGCTGGGTGACACCACCCGTCAGGGCAGGGTCCATGTGAGGAGGTGGCTCACCTGCCTGCCTGGCCCTCCCTGTTCTCCTACTGCCCCACACTGCGGGGCTCTGGGCTTCCCAGGTTGCTTGCACCATGCAAACATTTCCTTTTCTGGGAATGTGCAGAACTGGGCAGGGTTGAGCACAGGCCTCTGCCCCTCCTGGAAGAAGGCCAACGCCTCCCTTTTGCAAGTCCACCATCACAGCTCGTCAGTATGGGCTAAAGTGCGTCATGGCTTTGTGATTTCTACATCTCGTTTCCACTGTTTGTAAAGTAAATGAGTTTGAGCAGTGATGTAGAATATGTACAATTTTATGATGGTCAGACAACTGAGAAAGAAACATTTTTTTCTTACATTCAATTCTTGCACTTAGTTTCTGTGAGTCTTTGGATGAGTTTACAGAAACCCTCTGAATTTCAAACCTGAGTCTGTATGTGGGTGTATGTGTGTGTGTGTGTGTGTGTGTGTGTGTGTGTGTGTGTGTGTGCGTGTGGTCTTTTTAAAACAGGGTCTTATTCAGGCTGCTCTTGTACTCACTTTGTAGCCCAGTCCGGCCTTGAGCTTGCAGCAATCCTCCTGCCTCAGCCTCCCCAAGTGTTCAGATTGCAAGCATGTACCACCGTACCTGGCCTCAAAGCCCACTTTTAAAAGGACACTGATGTAGTGTTGGAGATGGGTGATATGTAAAAGTATGTTTAACATAATGCGAAACACTTACTAATATTAGCATTGATGGTAACTTTAAACTCTTGTACTATAGTTAAGAATAAATAGTGTGAATACAACACACTAATAATTGCAGTAAAGATTAAAAACATCACAATTATTTAAAATGGTGAGTTAACATAGTATATTCTCTACTAAGGAAATTTCTGAATGATATTAATAGAACATTTGATATAACAACAAATTGAGCTCATACTTTAAGACAAAGTTCTATGTGGACTCGCATCTCATACAAATGTCAAACACAAACTGTCACAGTCTAGACTGCCCAGTGCAGATCCAGGCCTGTCCACTGCAGCTGCTCTCAGGCAGGGTGTCTGCACCTGGCTGGCTGCTTGCCTGTCTGGACCCTCTGGGGCCTCAGGGAAAGCCACGCACAGTTCTCCACAAATCCCTGTCTCTGATGCTCACCTCTTCCAGGTGCCCAGGGGTCAGTTTAGATTCTTGTTTGAAACAAAAGCTCTTCAGTCGTCTTGTGTCCCACCCAGTCAGTATCCACCCAGGAAGATGGGGCACACCACTCACCCACGGGGAGATGGTATCTGAAGAGAACTGAGTAAACTAAGGACAATTTCAAGACAAGCCCTAACTTCTTGGGAGTGGGAGAAATATATATGAGTTCAAACAGGGAGAACTACACACACGGCCCATTAGATCATTGGGGTGATGCCCAGCTGCTTAGAAATGCTGAATTTAGATTTAGGAATAAATAGGGAGAGAGCTATGAAAGCACACAATGCTAAATAAAAATGATGCGTGTGTTTGTTATGATCAGCATTAAAAAGTAAAAAGCCCTTTCTCATTCAATCCAATAGTACGTTAACATTAGTGTCTGCTGTTTGAATTCTGCACAAAACAAAAAAGTCTTTAATTTGCCAAGTTATGCCATTTTACAGTGTATTTCACTCAAGTAAAGAAGACTTCTCAGCATCGACCGATGGCTATCTATACTTTTCTGAAAGCATAACTTTAAATCTAAAGATACAGCAGAGTCTCAAAAATGTGTGATGAATGCTTATCTTTCCCTCCAGAACATTCTTTCAATGTTATGATTCATCAATGAAGTTGTACAACTTGTGCATTGCATTCCTGTAGTTATTTGCATAGTTATAATTGCTACTCATCAAAACTCTGGTTTCTTAACTTCAAGTTTAGAAATTTTAACTCTAGAGGGCTGGGGATACAGATCAGCAGCACAGCTTTTGCCTAACAAGCATAAGGTCATGAGTTTGATTGCCAGTACCAAAAAGAAACAAAGAAACAAGGAACTTTTAACTATATAAATCAAGAAACCAGGACTTTATCTCAGTGGAAAATATATTTTCAGGTCATATGTGCACATTTTTATAACATGAAAAATAGGTAAAGATCAACACAATTGGAAATAGTATGGATTCTTAAGATCTTTTCTAGATTTTATAAGGTTTATGTATAAAATTATAACAGGAGAGCATACACTCTGTAATCCCAGGGGCTCCGGCGGCTGAGGCAGGAGGCTCAAGGGTCAGGCTTCAGCTTGGACAATGCAGTGAGATCCTGTTTTAAAATTTCAAAAATATTGTTATAAAGAGGTGGAATGTAGCTCAGGGTAGGGGCCCTGGGTTCAATATCCAGTGTCATAAAATAAACAAAAAATCAAATAAACCAGAAGGAATCTCAAGTAAATATTTCTTTGGCCAGTAAAAACTGATAGGAAAATTCACAATAAAGCCAATGAAAAGTATACAGGATGCTACCTAGAAGACTATTTTTTTCCGTCTTACTACATTTAGCAATATAAAGTGTGCCTTAAAAATGGCAAATATTTAAATTTTTTAAAATGTAAGCTAGTGGCAGGTGTGGACTAGTAGAGAACCAAAGAAGCTGACCCCTTCCTGTGAGCCAGTAGCCACTGTGCGAAGGGAGAAGAAATGAGAAGCCAACCCTTTCCTGTGAGGAAGAGGCAGCCATGTGGTCAGGGAAGAGAAATAAGAAGTGACTCTTTCCTGTGAGCCAGCCAGCCTGCTGGCTGGGAGACAAGAAGAGCTGAGGCCCTCCAATGGTAAGCAGCAGCTGATCAGGAGAAACACAGGCCGAGATGACAGCAACTGAGGTTAAAAAAAACCAAAAACTTAATGCTCCTGTATTTGATTGATTTTGCAAGCCTAAACCCAGTAGCCTGAGCATCTATTTATAGTATGACAGTGTACAATATAGTAACAATGGGGAGTTTCTTTCTGAAGGTGGTAGCTATTGTTAATGCCCTACTATCTTGTTTTAAAGTCCTGCATTGTTTTCATTGTTTTTTCTTGTTTGATATTATATATTATTATATTATATTACTATAATAGTGGCACTGGCAGCTATTTCAAAGATAACAAGGTATATTATGGTAGCCATTGTTGCTTTCCTATTGTCTTGTTGTGAAGTCCTGTATTGCTTTCATTGTTTTGTTATGATTGGTTTTGTTCTGTTCTATTTTGCTTGGTTTTATTATGTCTGATAGTTATGGCAGCTATTTTGAAGATAACAAGAGGCACTATGGTAGCCATTGTTGATTTCCTGTTGTCTTGTTTTGAAGACCTGTATCACTTTCACTGTTTTGTTTTGATTAGTTTTATTTTGTTTGATTTTATTCTCTTTAAAATACAAACAGTATTACGGTAAAAGGCACAATTCCATTAATCTCCTTCAAAATCCACCTCCCTGTGCTTGGAACACACGCGTTCCATTATTTGTGCTATTTGTTTGAAGCAGTTCGAGAAGTTCTCTTTCATGTCTTTAGTTGCCCTGTTGTGGCTATTTCCACATCCTGAACTGATTCAGAACATTTACCTTTCATGGTTACTTGGACTTTCTGGAAGAGCCAGAAGTCGTATGGCATCAAATCTGGTGAATAGTGTGGATGAGGACACACAGGGGCTTTATGAGCCGGCCTTTCCACTGGGTGGCACTGGGTACCGCGTTCACTTTATCTTTATCATGACTCATAAAGACACAAAAGAGGACATCTAGAACCACTTCACAGAGTGGCAAGGACTATCAAGTAAATGTTTTCGAAGTGAGAAGTATTTAAAAATTTTAAATATTCGCCATATATTTCTTTCATCCCTGTATCTTTGTTACAATGATCTCTTTGTTAAAATGTTTATCTCACCAAGAGGATGAACTAGAAGGGTGAAGGTGAGACACATCCCCGCCCCCACAGGTGTGATGGGAAGCTGAAAGTTCAGGGCCAGAGAGGAAGCCAGGAGTGCGTGATGCAGCATCACCCCTGCCCCTGACTCGGGTCTCCACGTCCCTGTTCCCTGCTTTTAACTTTAGTTTCCTCTCTTGAAAACTAGTAATGAAAATTTTGTTTGTAAGGGGTCCACACAGTGCCTAGCACGTAGTATCTGTTCAGAAAGAAAAGATGGAAGAAAAGAGAAACAAGACAGCAGGGAAGGGTTCTTTCCCATTGTGGGGGCTATTGCCCAGTTCGGGGTGATTTTATTGTTTGAGCTCCTCCAGATCATGTTATCTTATGAACTCATTCTGCTTGTAGTGTATAAAAATTAACTATAAAGAGAAAAGTAAAAAAAAAAAAAAACACCAAATACATAGTTGGATTAAAAAGCAAGATAAACAGAGCCTCCGCTCAAAAGTAACCAGTGCAGTGAGCAGGACCCTCAGCTGGGGCCAGCAGGGGGATTCGCCCCTTCAGAGGGAAGGAGATCAGCATCTCCTACACAGCAAAGACACCAAAGGGGTGGTTTGCTAAAATCCAAAGCTGTTTCTGTGTTATGATGTTGGGAGCCGCGTCTGTGATAGCTCGCCTTGCGCGGCGGACGTGCGGCCTGTGGTAAAGAGCAAAGCCTGAGGTAGATTACCCCTCCCATCGAATATGTTAGTTTCCTGCTTACCGGCGTAAACAACCCGCTCAACAATATAGTCTGCCTGGCAACTGATGATGTTAGCCAATCAGCTTGCCTTGCTTACTTTAACATGATTGGACACTGTACCCGTATATATACCGGTGCCACCCCTGGGCGGAAGAAGAAGCCAGGTAGAAGCCCAGAAGTAAAAGCCCAAAAGGAGCCGCGGAGAGCGGACCGGTAGAGGCTTTGGGGCAGACTGAAGCACAAAAGGAGCCGCGGGGAGCGGACCAGAGGAGGCTTCAGCTGGGAGAACCCAGGGCAGGCTGTACGGAGAAGGAAAATAAAAAGAAAAGGTTGTCCACTACCAGACTTTGTCGTGTGTCCTTCCTGCCGGCCGGGAGCGGACATCGACATTATGAAATTAAGATCAGAACTGCGAATCTCCAGGAAAAGGAGAAGAGAGAAAAACTATGAAAAGCCACAAATAAAATTACCAAAAGTAGCAGGCAAAATAGATAAAATAATAATAGCAGGTAAAACAAGCAACTTAAAAATCATAAGCTAACATAACAAATAACTTCACACAATACATCTGAATGTTCAATTAATGGAAAAGTTTTGAGAAGTATTATATATATATATATATATCAATTTCATAGATAAGGTAGTTCTTTTACTGTTCACAATAAATAACATAGGGAAGGAATGAAAGGAAAAACTGTTCTTATTTATATTTAAGATGGTTTTTTCTATTCAAAATTTAAGACTACCAATAATCCTGGTACTAAATCTCAAATGGAAGCTACGGGCCAAAATAGCCATTGTTAGTCCCTAACTGAACTTCATTCATGGAAATAATGTCCAGGTTATTTGGCTGTGGTTTCACTAAGTGTGACTTGAGTAGCCAGGGACAATGCCCATTCCATGCTGACCTCCTGCTTCCTGTTAGCTTCATTTCTAGACCTGTCCATCATTATTCTGGGTCTAGAATGTCATGCAGATAAAGTGCTATATATTCCCTGGAACAATATAGAAACGGGAAGTGGAAAAGTCAACTGAGCTTAAAGATTTTTTTATCCCTAAAATGAATTCCTGTCTTTCTTACTGTCCAAAGATATAAATTTCCTGATTCAACATGGCAATCAAAAGCCTATTTAGAATTGTTTGAAAAGTTATATAAACTCTCAAGAACATGTTCATGGATGAGTGTTATCTTCTCTGGACAGAAATGTGTGTGTCTAAACTCACATAGATGTAGCCATCAAACACCAGAGACCTAATTTTTAGTGTATGTTAAACTTGTTAAAAGTCAGGGGTAATGGCACACTCCTGTAACCCCAGAACTCTGAGAAGCTGAGAACAGCAAATTTGAACCCAGCCAGGAAAGTATAGTGGCCCTGGGAAGGTAGCTCAGTGCAAAAGCCCTGGGTTCAATCATCAGTACCTCAAAAAACAAAAAACAAACAAAAAAAATCCAAACATCTTAGAAATTAAATATTTTTCATGAGAAATAACAGTGTTTTTGAAAAGTTCTATTTTGGGTACGTCTATCATTTCCCCTAGGCTTGTTGCTCTTTTTACTTTATATAATGCTATGATTTTTTTTTAGCTGATTAACAACAAAAACAACAAAATAAGAGCATTCAATTCCACAAGCAATTTTAACATGCATATTGAGAAAATACAAATTATCAACATAAAGCCATTCAATTTGACTAAGATGATAAATTTTACTAAATCTGTATCTACTTTGTGTATTGTAAGAGTGCAGTAAAATAGTTTTAAAAATTTTTAGTTTCTGGGTCAGAAATATTCTCTGGCAAAGGAGGCTAATATTGAAGTGTTAAATATTTTAATAAAGATTTCATGAGATAATAAAAAAGAATATAGAACTGTTGGAATGATTTTAATAGATAGAAAAACACTTACAAATGAGGAACTAAATTTTAGCCATTTTATAACCCAGTTCAAAATATTAGTTACTTAAAGTCTAAAATATAGAACAACAGGAGATCAAACATTTTTTAGGGAATTCTAGACACAGGTTTTTTTTTTTTGCCTACCTAATAATTATTTAATAACTTATGAGTTTGAAGAATAAAAAGAAAGATTACTTGTGAATTTGCTAATAGTGCTTCTTTACTACATCTTAGTATTACTTTGTAATACTAAGGTTTTAATTAAGCCTTTTTAAGTTTTTAATAAACTCATATGAATTATAGTAACAGAGCATAATGTGTACACTCCATTTAAATAGACACTGATATTCTGTACTGCAAAATAGCAACATAAGAACTTCTTGCACAATTGATAGAGAACAGCAATTTACTAGCTAACAGCTGATGGAGAAAAATGATGATCTCCCCTATTTCCCAGTGTCTCTGGGCGTTTCTGATTTAGTTCTGGAAAAGAATACAGGTTGGAATTAAACTGTAGAAAAAAAGAATTTTTAACAAAGCGTTGATCTCAGCCAAACACTGGATGCTTCTTTAACCTTGAATTAGCAAGCTAGAATCTGCATTTTCCTATGAATAATCAATAAATGTCATTTTGAATGCTTGCCTCAGATGATGGCTGAACTAAAAGGACTAACTAAAAAGTCCTTTTGGAGCTGTGAGTTCAAGTTCCCGGTCTAAGGGAAATTTCTTACAACATCTGAGAGTAGAATGACAGTAGAATGTGATTCTTGGCATCTTGGAGATGCCTCAACAACAGGAGCCTTAAATAATAGCACTTATTACAAATAAAATCCCTGAGCTTAAAAATAAAAAAGAATGCAAAGAACCATGAACTAAAATTCTGTCCTGCTTTTCTTACTGAAGAGCCACTGGAGGGAATTCTGTAAGAATCACTAACTCTGGGTGGGACAGGATTTTTCTCCACCAGTAGTAACTATATTTTCCATGTTAAAATCAACCCGAAGGATTGTAAGTCTCTTGGGCCTGTGGTTTCTCTTAGAAATTCCCGTCCGATTTCCATGTGATCCTGAACACAGCAGGTTTCTAGGTGAGACAAGATCCTAAATGCTAAAAAGGGGTCACGAAATGATCACAAACAGGATATGACAGGAATGAAAATAAGACCCTCAAGAGTGAGGCTTGTGTCACTTCTAATCTGTGTGTCACCCAATAATCGCACTTACTTGCGCTGTGTCTCTGCGGAGTCCGGTGTCTGCTCTGCGTGGGTTTGTGGCTGCACTGTGGGTTTATATGGTAAGTGAGAGTTGGTCAGAAGCCAAGAGAGAAGAGGCGACTTACTTCCACCTAAATGCCTTCCTTCCTATCTTAGCTGAAATATGCCTGCTCAACAGCCCCAGCCTGCCAAGGATCCTGGCTTTTCTTGGCATTTTATAAGGCCTCTCTGCCTGTGAATAATCCAGCGTATTTGCATTCAGGATAAAATCAAGTGTGCCTGTTGCTACAGGTTCACTTATTCTTAATCTTAGTACCAGAGGCTTCTGGGACAGGAGGAAACGAGGGTCCCTTTATACTTTACAGATCTGTGCGTGGCTTGCTCCTGTCTTCACAGCCTCCTCCCGAGCGATGCCTCTGCTGCACACCCAACCCCCATGCCATCTTTTGGAACCCACCTTTGCCTGTTGAGGGTCCTTTGTAGAGCATTTTGTCTGTCTGCAGCCTCCCCTGCAGAATGTACAGTGATACTTGTCATTTTCCTTAAGGTCAGATCTTGGTACAAGAGCCATGTCAGGCATGTCCTAGGCACCCGCATGTCTCTGATGACTGCGTGACCCTAATTTGCATTCTTCACAAATCACATTTTCATATGGACTTGTGACATTTGCATTGCTGCTGTTGTATTTTGTTTACACTAATTTCTCAGAAGAGCCATCTCCTTCAAAGAAAACCTGGAGTGGAAGAGTTTAACACTCCAGGCTGTGCTAATCCTTATATAAGTTTATACTCTTAGGAAAATTAGTGACATCTATCTTTCTGCTTTAGACATTTATTTTTTTCACTCCCTAATACAGGAACTAATTCCAGGTATAATCTTAGAACAGCTCAGTGAAAGGATCCACTAAAGAACCTACCTGTGCATTATGGACCCTGCAGATTATCCAGGAAACTTTTTAATGCCAGGCTGACTCTCGGCCTCCAACATGAAAAGTGTTTACTCTATTTATTATAGAAATAATTGGAAATATTACTTTGCCAAAGAGTTAATTAAGAAGATACAAGAGCAGCCCTGCCCACCATCCAAAAAAGAAAAGAAAAGAAAAAGAAAGGAGTCAAAATCAGGTGTGAATGGGGTGCGTTTGCTCCAAGCAACATCAGCACACTGCATAATCTTTCACTGAGTTTTGTGTTTTCTTTTCTTTTTTTTTTTTTTTTTGTCTTTTTTCATTTTTATCGGTACCAGGGATCGAACTCACAACCGCCTGCTAGCAAGGCAGGTACTTATGCCGCTGAGCTAAATCCCCAGCCCCTGAGTTTTGTGTTTTCACAGGACAGTCCTAGAGACTGAGCTCAGGGCCTCTCTGTTCTCACGCCAATTATCTTAATCCCTATTGTGGGATCAGAAGATGAAGATGTAGGAAAATCAAATAAATTACCCAGCAATTTTTGAAGGAACAGCCTGGACCTTTTGATGACACATTTAATGTTTTTTTCATACAGTCTGCTGCCTACCTATAATGACAGACTGCTCCAGTTTAAGAAACTAAATTCAGATGTGCCCTAAATAGCTCCTCCCTCATTTCCGCGGCAGTTTTATACTGTGTACCCATTCTCCAAGCTGGAGGGAACATCCAGCCCTCACATCCTATTTCAGCTTCCTCACCTATAACTCGGTGAGGACAAAAGGCTTCCTCACTTGCCCGGCATGGTAACCCCAGCACTCCGGGAGACCAGGGCAGGAAGAGGACTCCTGGATCAAAACCATCATGAACAACTTAGGGAGACCCTGTCTCAAAATTAGAAAAATCAAACAAAAACCAAACAGCACTAGGGATGTATCTCAATGTGAAGGCTGTGGATTGAATTCCTAGTCACAAACACACACACACACACACACACACACACACACACACACACACACACAGTGTCCTTACTTCCCAAAGCTGTGAATGGGTTAATACACATACACCACTCACTGCAACCGCTTAGCAAGTGCAACTGCTTGGTAAGTCTCAGTGGTTACCATTTATGTCTTTATAATGGAAAAATAGCAATGCGCATGTTAGTTCCTCTTTAAAAGGGAAGTGTTCAAACCTGTTTCTCCTTTCCTAGCCACTCTGTTGTTGGGGAAGGAAAGGGCTTAGTTACTTGGCTCCTGCAATGGTAATCTGCATATTTTCACTCAGTCTCCTTGTCATAATAAGTTATCTAGAAGACTAAAAACATGTGAAGTAAAAATATTTATGCCTGTGTTTGAGAAGGCAGGGAATGGAAAATCTGTTTCTTTTTGTGTCTAACTTACCTTGCTGACTAGAATGTGCTGGCAAATTTTTAGTGTGTATGGTCTCCCAGATTTCACTGACAATGTTACTAATCATGTTTTATTACCTGCCGCTTCTGGATACTGTGGAGAATGATACAGCAATTGTTTCCACAACTGTGTAAATGCTCCATTCCCTAGCCTTTTGACTAACAGAGGGTTTCTTTTTATTTAACTAAATTAACTATTTTTATATACATGGACATATAAATATACATATGTTGTTTCTCTCAGCTGCTCACACTAATAAGACAGTATGATGTTTACACATGTGTGTCTTATGTATTTCACTCATGAGTATGATCTCAAGTTGAGGGTTTCTTTTTTACAAGATTCTTGAATACAAGAAAATACAGTAATATAAATAAGTTAAAATCTGTTAAGTGCTTTCCTGTAGGACGGCAGTGAATAAAGTGCTTGCCTGGCATTTTCTCATTTAACGCCGACAGAACACATCACAATGGTGTTCTCTCCTTTTAGTGCGGTCACATGGCTTACTAGAGTGTGTCATGAAGGCATTTTTAGATGTAATGTTCCCCAAATATTTGGATCTAGTTCATGAAGTTTCATGTTTATTCCTGTCAAGGATAGGTGAAAATAAACATTAAAATTAAGTACTCTTGTTTTTCAAGATTTTTCCTGAATTGGTTAATGTCACTTCTGCACTATTACACTGTGTGTAACTACCTTTGTGCAGTAAGGCCCTCTCTGTTTCTGCCCTGTCTTGGCTCCCCAAAAGAATCACAGGTCTTTCCCAAACTTTAATTATTAAAAAATAGAAGTTGGCCTTCTGACATCTAAAGTCACCTCCTGCTATGTTATTAAAAGATATTCGCCCGAAGACATTTCTCTGTCCTACATGATTGGGTGAAAATGAAGGCCAAAGGGGCACAGAGCTGTGGGCCAGGAGGACAGGTTCATGGGTCATCCTTGTCCCCAAGTCTAAAAACAAAAACAAGGTACTCAAACCAAAGGAAGGTCATTCACTTCAATAATCCCACATGGTTCACTCCTTATAAACCCCCATGAGAATGAAGACAAAGTTATAACAAAAAAAATTTTGGAGAATTCAAGAATCTCCCTAAAAGTTATCAAAGAGCAGGAATCAATGATACCAATTTTTAAATGATACCTATTAAATACCTTGTATGTTGGAGTTTTTATATGTTTGAAAATAAATTAATCTGAAGAGGCATGTGATCTGCAGGAGGAAAGGAGATTTTGGAAAATAAGCTAACAGGAAGTTTCTAGGACCGTACTGGCCTACTAAATGCCAACATTGATAACTGTGCTCGTCACGTGCCTGGTGCTCAGCCAGTATTGTAATTTACTAAGCTCTCAAAGCCAACGTGATGTAGGTCCAATATTTGAAACATTTATCTACTTTCATATGCTTTGCTACTAGGGACTGTGTTAGAGTTCCTCTAGAAGAACAGAAATCACCAAATGAAGGAAGAGAATTGAGCGGGGATTGTTCGGTGACTGTTTCTTAGATTGGCCTGTGATAGAGACAGGATAGAGACAGGAAACTACTTAGGACAAAGGAAATCAAGACATCGCGGTTTCTGCTGACACAACTGCCATCTGCTCTACTGTGGCTGCAGAAAAGAGAAATTCTACAGTAACAGGAGAATTTTAAGAACAGACGAAGCGCCAGGCCTGGCGGCTTACACTTGTAATCCCAGCACTTGGGAGGCAGAGGCAAGAGGATCGTTGCAAGTTCGAGACCAGCCTGGGCTACAAAGTGAGCTCAAGGCCACCCTGAACTGCACAGAGATTCTGTCTCAAAAAGAATAGACAAAGCTTTCATCCTTAAGGCAAAATATAGAAATATAAAAGACATACAGCTTGTTCAAAGGAGAAGCAATTTTCATTCATATCAAAGTAACATAAAGATCCAGAAAACAATAGAAACTGATGCTAAAGATATTTTTTGCTGACCTCTAAGCCCAATTGCTGCTTGGATACTTTGGTTCTTCACAAACCTGGGTCAGAGAGAGAGAAATCAGCTGTTTCCTAAATGCTGGGCCCTATCCATGAAAGGCTGGAGACGGCTAGTTTCTGGCAGTGGGTGCTTTTCGCTGATGAAGACGAGCAAGGACACTACAAGCTCGACTACAATTAACTGCCATTCTCAAGAGACAAGCTCTAAAATTGTTAGCAATCCTGGAGTTTGAAATAATTTATATAAATGGTTAAAATTGTCCTCCATGGACACCAGCTGATAGCCATCATGCAACACTGATTCTAGACTTGAATACCCAAACAGTAGCACGGCCCCGCCCCATGTAACAAATGTCACATGTAGTGGTACTGATCTCCTTACAGGGCTGACAGTACATCTCTTATTCCTTTATTTGTTTCTTTTCACTAGTATATGTTCACAGTTCATGATGATTACATGCCTTGTGTGGAGCTGGTACTCAAACACAACACACTTTAGTTCTGCTTTTATCCCCTTTCCTTAGCTTTCCCCACATCTCTTGTTCCCCTTCCCTTTTGAAAAAGATCTGTCTCCCTGTTTTATATTTTCTATCTCTTTTTTTGCTCATTAATTTATTTATACTTTGGGTTTATCATACAAGAGAAGTTATGCAATATTTTAACTTGTGTCTTTGATTAGTGACTCTCTAGGGTGGATTTGACCATTTGGGTCCTTCCTTCCCCCCTCAAAGCCATTTGTTCTCTCCCAAAGGCCTATGTCCTTTTAAAGAGAATAACCTACCTCAGCAAAATATGAGTTTCCAGTGAAGAAAGGAATGTATACATGCACATATGTAATTACTCTAAGATTAGCATTCAACTCTCATTGATGCAGGAAAGTGTATCAGACCCTGGTACCAACATCATAAGATGTTACCTATAAAGATTTTTTTTTTTTTTTTTTTAGCC